GGTGGTGGTGGTTCTGGCGGTGGCGGTAGCAGTGGTGTTGTTGGAGGGAATGATGAGGTGATGGTCACAGTTGGTGGTGGTCACAGATTATTTGGTCGTTTGTGACCATTAAATTGGTTAATTTGTGACCAATAAATAATATGTGATCTAAAAATTATTAATTTGTGACCAATAATTTGATAAAGTGTGACCTAAATATAATTTGTGATCAATTAATTTGATATTTTGTGACCATAAAATAAGTTGCAACTTATAAATTTTGTGATTTGTGACTAATGAATAAATTGTGGCTTTTAAATTTTAAATTTTTGACTTATGAACAAACTGTGATTTATAAAATTTTTGAATTGTGACCTTAAAATTTTTGAATTGTGACCAAATTGCATAGATATGTAACCTTAATATATTTAATTAAGACATCCATTTTTTTCTCTTTCTTCATCTCAACCACACATTCTATCAATAAAATAATATTACACATAAACCCAAAAATTCTCCTTACTTTTTAACCACACATTCTTCCATCAATCACTATTCCAAAATCTATTTTTTTTCCCTCCCTCAAATGGATGTCAAACACAAGCTAAATCATAAATAAATTTTAATAATAACCTGATTTTTGAAATTTAAAACTCTATCCTCAATTTTGAAATGATGTATACTAAAAAACTAGTCTATGTATTGTTCCCTTTATTGAATCTACCGACATTTTTAACAAAATGCCAACCCCTAACAGACAAATTAGGAATTGCGATGGCTTCAATTATCACTTGCTAGAGACATAAAAGGTGGTCCAAATTTCAACCCTTTGGTACTATATACTATTGATTTCGCCGATTAACTACATACATACAAGAAATATACTGATTTCTTGTCGGTCGATAGTTGTTCCGAACATAGAGTCATTGTTTGTTTCAATCAAAAATGTTGATTAAATTCAAGTTCAAGATAAATATTAATTTTAAACACACGTTTTATTGAATTCATTATTTTTCAATCACACGTTTCGTCAATTTTTATCAAATCTGCTAAAAGTATGATTTTTTAATTTAAACCAAACATGGCGTAATTTATATTCACATATATTTTTTTTTTTTATGTAAATTTGAAAGAGATGAAATATGATATTCCTCATCATACCCCACAAAAGAATTATCTAACCCTTGTAGTGTCCCTTACGTCTTAAACCATATAAAAAATATGTTGATTGCTTATCTTGGTGGATAGTAACAATGGAATCCACTATATTGTCAAGCATTAATAGCACACGAAAGTAATTTTTATTTAGATAATCACTTATATTGTTAAACTATTGATAGAGGAGGGCACAAATGTACTTACTAAAAATTTGTCTCGAGCATGCCTCTCGTAGGTATGTCGGATTCATTTTTTATAATTGTGAACAATTTTCGAATACGGGTTGTGTTAAGATTTGAATTAAGAATATTTGTGTGCTCTTATATCACGTTGAGGGCCTGTTTGTTTCACATTATTTTAGGTTGAAAATGAATAATTTGACCCTTTTTTTCAACGAGCTGGGACCCACCATGACACGAGATGGTCAAAAAATGCAGTTCATTTTTTTCCTTTAAATAAAATTTAACACATGAACATTTTTCGTAGATGACTAATAGCGAAACTTGAACTAAGAATATTTATTTATGCTAATACCAATGTTATACTATTTCATTTAATAGTATGTTGCTAGGAGCACAAATTGATATTTTATAGTACTCCCTAATTCTTGTAATGGACAAATATAGTGCTTGCTTTGATAGCAGCCACTAAACTCTTATGCTAATAACCTAAAGCTGTCACTTAAATCACACTATTAGAGTAGAGACAACTAAGCTTATCTTTAGATAAAGATTAATTTTTTAGTAAATTTTGATAAAAGTTGATGGAATGTGTAATTGAAAGTTGTGGGTCTCGTAAAATGTGTTGTTAAAATTAATTTTTGTCTTCAACTTAGATTTTAATAAAAACATTTAACTGAACCAAACAGGGACTTATTTGTATTTTCACTAGTCTTTATATAACATTGATCTTCTGCTATTTTCTGCAAGAAAAGAAAAACAATGGCTATGGCTATATACAAAATTCTTCTGTTTTTCTCTTTGTTCTGTCAGTTAGGGCAAAAAATCATATCATCTGATGAACAGAAAACACCTACACACACTCTACAAGAAGCCTACGATGCTCTTGGAATCAAACCAAACCCTGATGGCTCCTTAACAAGAGAAATTAGAATACCAATGGTAAATGCAACACCAGAAATTGAACCTACTTCCACCACTCAAATTGCACTCTCCAAAGACATACCTTTGAACCCTATTACCCAAACCTTTATACGTCTCTATAAACCTTTAAAACCTACGAAAAATAGTAAAATTCCACTCATAATCTACTTGCATGGAGGTGATTTTGTGCTTTTCAGTGCAAAAACTGTCATTTTTCATGAATTTTGCAATCAAATTTCGGCGCAGTTCCCCGCAGTCGTGGCGTCAGTCGAGTACCGTCTTGCCCCCGAGCACCGTCTCCCCGCGGCCTTCGATGATGCCATGGATGCCATCTTGTGGGCTAAAAACCAGGCAGTGTGTGTTAAAGGTGGTGATGCATGGATGAAACAATTAGTTGATTTTTCTCATGTTTTCTTATTGGGCAGTAGTGCAGGAGGAAATATAGCGTACCATGCTGCCCTAAGTGCACTTGATCTTAATCTTTCACCAATCAAGATCAGAGGGCTGATAATGAATCAGGCTTATTTTGGTGGGGTCCACAGGACTGAATCAGAGATCAGACTAAGTGAAGATGCTTATGTTCCTTTGTATGTAAATGATCTTCTATGGTCCTATGCATTGCCAAAGAATGCCAATAGAGATCATGTATTCTGTAATCCACTGGTGATTGGTGGATCATATGATCTTGGGAAGATCAAACGGCTGCCAAGAGTTATGATAAAAGGTGATGATGGGGACCCACTTGTTGATAGGGAGAAATTGTTGGCAAAATTTTTAAATGCAAATGGCGTGCAAGTTGTTTCTATATTTAATGAAGGAGGATATCATGGGATAGAGCTTAGTAATACAACTGCAGCTCAAGCTTTGTATGATGCTATGAAGGATTTCATCCTATCTATTATAAATTGATGAATCCCTTGATCGATTTGTTTGTTGAGCCTTTTAAAATAAAATCTACTTTAATGGTTAAGTCTTCTACTCAACTTGTGATTTGTTAGGTACTTAAAATAGAGTTGGAGGAGCGTTTTGTTTTCTTGAACTGTGTAGTGTATCCTTTATTTTTCTACCACGTTTGACACCACACCTCCATCTCTCAAGACTATGAAATATAATGACCAATTACAACCTCTCTCTCTATCTCTCTCAATTTAAGGGGCCATGTGAGGTTAAGTGTCAATTAAAAACGGTATGTCCTATAAAATGTGTGGTTAAAAATAAAGCTTAATCAACTTTATGGTAAACAAAAATTTTGCGAAATAAGTCAGTTTAGAAAGAAAATTGGAGACAAAAGTAAAAGAGCAAGAGTCTGTTCTCTTTGTTGTTTTCAAGCCATTTTCAGTTTTCAATTTTTGAAAACATTAACAACACTTTTACTTACTTATTTTTAGAAACGAATTTCTAAAAACGAGTTTAAAATTTATAAAGAAAACGAAAAACGCCAAAAAAATAGTTTTGGTTGTTTTCAGTTAAATCAAACCAAAACTTAAAAATACGAAAAACGACTAGATTGCCAATAGTGGGATAGCTTAGTTGGGAGAGTCACAAATTTTCTAGAACGTCGCGAGTTCGATTCCATTTTACCGCAATTCAATATAAAACAATTTTCTTTTTATATACATAGTACAAAATTTTTCAAATAAATTGGTAAGTGACTGAGTTTCTAACCCGGGTTACCAACATAGAATTTCAATGCCCTAACCACAATAACAGCTAATTTTGCTTTATTTATAAGTAAAAGAACTATATATATATATAT